AATCTTGAGTACCTATAGTGTAGTATTGCATCATTCACATCTCCGAAGAGTCTTCAGTTTTATCAGATTTATAAATAAAGATACAGCTTACGATTCTCTCCGAAAACAGCCGAGCTCCTGGAGGCGAGCCGTGGGCGGAGCTGAAGAGTCACGAGCACTTATGGGCCGACTGGCAACAAACACAGACATTTGATGCAGTTTTACAGCAGTTCCTAGTCATGACCGGGATCTTTTATCGTTGGGACTGCTCCGTCTTTCAGCATCAAACGATGTGCAAATCCAGTGTCAGATTGTACCTTGTTATAAAACATACGTCACCGAAGTGACGGGAACAACAAACATGCTTGTGAAACTCCGTTGCTGCCCCGGAAAAACAAACCGCATCCACTGTACATATAACACTGAATAAGGTTATCTTTTCCTCACATCCAAAAACACACATCTTTAGAGACATTCTTCTCGAGCAAGTAACTGCAGCGCTGCCGATGACTTCTGTAACCATGAACAAAACGCGTTGAGCGGTGCGCTCTTGCTCTCGCTCGGGTCGCTGAGTACGCGCGTGCACACAAGAATCCAACTCTTAACAGTGTAAACAACTCAGAATGCATGAAATGGCATTAGACCCCCCTTTAAACGCAGCACATTGCAGAGACGAGCCAGTGCCAACAGATAGTACCGCATATAAGCATTTAACTGAAAACATCTAAATGAGCCTAATAAAGTAATAGGTAGCACGGATAGCCTTAGCAACACGCATGTTGCCAATAACCTGAGAGCACTGAAAGGAACTTAGCTTGTGAAGACGTTCGAGAGAGTGAAACATAGCAGCTGTGGTGTAGATGCTTGATCTCTTGATATCCTTCTTGGGGATGAAGTTCCCATCTGAACTTGTTCTTGAGTCAGTCACATAACGTTGTGGAGTCCATGTCAATAATGTAGCGATGTGTGAAATAATGCTAACTCAGTTACTTCCGAATCAGGCAGCTTATGATCAATGCGGTGAATTCACGTGTTCAAGTTAACAAACTTGAATGAATTGGAGGTGAGTCCATTGGGGAAATGAATTCCACTTGCTAAATTCCCGATTCCTAGTGATGATGGTGTCTTGCTTGCCGAATTCGCCATTTAATTAGCTATTGAGCAATGTGAAAACTGCTGATAATACTGAGGGACCTTATATATGAATGCTTAGATAGGTGTCGTATTCCTATAGATAGATGGGGATCAGCTGAGAGTCAGCTGATGCGAGCTTGACTAACATGACCTGCCAGAACTAACGCTACACTTGATTTTGTAATATAGGCCTATGTTAGGTGACCGTTATGACTGGTTTTGTGGTCCAGGATCACATATATTAGTAAATGTTGAAATTGACATTAAGTTTAATACAAGCTTTAAAGGTATTTTTCATTGTTAGTTCATGTTAACTAATGTAGATAACTAATGTTAACTAATACAACATTATTGCAATGTGTTACCGGGTTTTCAGTTTTTACATGATTTTTCATAGTGGTGATTTGTGGTAAACTGCATAGAAACCAGGGGGGTCAACTTGACCCGAACACCATCGTAGGAACAAAAGTTTTTCCTCTTCCATCATCATTAAAACAGTGTAAAAAGCACAGGTCATATGAAATAAACACAGGAGAAATGTCGGCACCTGCTCCTGTGTCCATTGCTTCTGATTGATCAGCGTGACGTTCACAGACTCCTGAGAGATCAACGAGACGCGCGGGATCGAGCCAGCCAATGCGTCCGGAACATTCTCGATGACTTTAGTTTCATCTATAGACACGATCTGAGGAGGAAAGGATGATAGAATCTGAGAAGGTTCAGATGTAGAGGTGACCGTTACTTGGTTAAACACATGCCTTCATGACATAAACCAGCTGCAGGATTTCTGGCGCTGAGAGGATGTTGCTGATGAATGTGGGATTTTGGGATATGGCCAGGAGCTCTGAAGATTCAATGCTGGAGATGGTTTCCGCCGGAACGCCCTTGACGAGCGTCCCGAGAGACAGCAGCGAGGAGCCGGTGTTCAACTGAAAAACACCCAGAAGTTCGCTGGTTTAATTTCTCAGAAATGTTGTCTTATTTTTTTTTTATATTCTATGTCAGTTAATAGTTTTGATATAGTTTTTCTGTTCTTGTGATATTCAGCTCCAACTCTCAAAAATGCAGCTGGAAGCGTTATTTAGACTCACTGGAAAGTCGGACTCGATGAGAGTCTGTATGACTGCGTTGGCTTGGCCCTGATTCCAGCCGTCGACGGCGCTGAGGGTCGAGAGTGCGCCCTTGATGACATCAGCGGAGGCGGAGCTTATCTGAGCCTCCGTCAGGCCCACGCTCTGACTGCCGAGCAGCTGGATGGTGGAGGAGGAGAGCGAAGGGAGATTGGTCGCGAGAGCAGACGTGATCTGAAACGAAGATGAAGCAGGTCAAATGAGGTCAACTGATCAATGAATTGATTGATTGATTCATTGATTGATGGACTGACTGACTGGCTGACTGACCGGATTGATTAATTGATTGATTGATTGATTGATTGATTGATTGACTGACGGATGGACGGACTGACTGGCTGACTGACTGACTGACCGGATTGATTGATTGACTGACTGATTGATTATTTGACTGATTGACTGACTGACTGACTGACTGACTGACTGACTGACTGACT